AATTTCGGTTTTGATTTATCCTTTAATCAGTTAATGGATTACAGTTTGGATTCCTACCTTTTTGCAGCCATCCGAGGAGCTGATATATCCTTATCCCTCAGTACCAGTTCTTCCGTGGATTTCGACGGAGAGCCTCTGAATTTTGGGGAGGTTTGTTTTTCCTATTCTTTAGATTTAAAGTAGATGTTATATCTGTTTTCTATAAAGCTAAAGCAAAAAAATTAACAAAACTTATGTTCGGTATTGTATACTGCAAAGAATACCATGAAACTGAGAAAGTTGAAAGAAGATAGTTGAAAAAATACAAATCATACATTATATACAAGATCATCTGACGCCAATTTTCGTCCAATAGGACTAATATTCGTTAAATTATAGCATTTAAAGTGAAATGATATGCAAAGTGTTTTATAGATTCTTTACTAAAAGAAAAAAGGCGAAAGAGAAAGTTTAAGATGATGCAATGTTATCATTCTTGCCATTCTAGAATGATATGTGAGATATAACTTAATCTATGTTTGTTGGTAAAATATTTCTTATATACGAGGCTTTATCTCTTATTTTACAGTTTAAATGTTGTAGCAAGCATTATCTTATACAATTTCCTACCTCTTTGTGGAGACAGAATAACACATTTGCAGTTCCTATCAATAAGATGATTTCTGCATGTAGTGGCAGCCTGGAGAAAGCTCACATGGGCGAAAAATCTTCTCTATTATTTGTACCAGCACCTTTTAATAAACTCTCGTCAACCACGGGTTTTCTATATGACCTGAACGAGAAACCTGCCGACTTAAGGTGTTTGAATCTACCTCCTGATTAACTATGTTGGTTTTGAGAGGTTTTACTTGAATGTGTATGAGATGAGACAGTGATTTATGGTACTAGAACAATTAAAGATGATGAATTTAACTCTCATCATTGTTCATATAAGAAAGTTAAAAAATTATGTGAGCATGGTGAAAATATGAATATAAATAAATTTGTTTATCCTAATTTAACTTTAGATCATGTGCTATTTTTAATAATTGAGGCACACAAAGCACAGAGAAGGATTGATGTTAGGTGTTTGTTGTAGGAACAATGCTGATCCCACAGCCCAGCCTGCTTTATTGACCATGATGCATTCTGGTGCTGCACATGTTTTCCATGAAATTATACCAGATAAGGTCTTCTATTCCCTCCTTCCCTTTCTCTCCATCCTTTTCGTTGCAACTTTGATAATTTTCAGTGTTTGTTATCTTAATTATCTCTAAATGATTTAGGGTAATCACGTTATGTGTGTGGCCAGCAAGTCATCCTTGGCCACTTCTAGTGCCGAACAAAGCATAAGGGGTATTTTTTTCTCCTACTACACTACTGCTACTCATGATTAATGATATTACTCGGGCATTCATATTGACAATTTAACAAACTAGGCTATTGTTATACTCCAACGGTGGCCATGGCTCGGAGGGCAACCTTGGCCAGATTTTTAGAGAAGCGCGTGCATCGGTAATGTCCTGCCTTGAGGTTTTTCCTTGATACTTAATAGTGCCAATTAAACTGCATTGGTTCCATCTCTAAGCATGATTTTTGTTGAATTCTTATCAATGGCTACTGTGAAGCAGATTGACACGTACAAAGACATCAAATCTTATCAGAAAATCACCAGATGCAACTACTTCTCCAGCATGGAATCTAAATATGAAGTGCAGCAAGAAGAAGAACAATATCATCAGATAATGATATGAAAAGGTAACAATGATGTTAGGCTAGTTTCTTTTCTGTTCCTTTTGAAGTACTTATACATTCCTTTTAGAATATACGATACCGAGTCATTTGATCATTGTTCAAGTGAGTCACACGATTGGTGAGTCAATTGAACTGGTAAATGACTGAATATTTTTATTACAATGTTAAATATTTTGTAGTGTATACAGTTGATAATTCCATGAATAATTGGTTTTGTTTTACTATTTATTTTTTAACGTTTTATATTTAATTCTAAAAGATATGTTATTAGCACAAAATTGATGATATAGATCCCTTCAAATGCTTAAAATGTACTTCATAATGCCTGCTACGTTATGATTTAAGCTGACCTGCAAAATAGAATTCTACGTGCATCTTTTATTTACATTGTACTTCTGCAAGCTAATGGCGCAGTAGAATCATGGTGGGCTGGAATATTTGTTTAAGGCCCAAAGTTATGTGGGTCTTCGTTTGTAGGATGTGGGTTCATCCATAGGTGACGGCCCAATTCATAATGGGGGTCCAGTAACACTGGCAAGTGGGCTTGGAACCCGAATTGGATGGAAAGAATCCATCCTCATATTACTCTACTTAGCAAAATCGGAATAATGCATAAGAATCCGTCCTTCAAAGGGGAACAACAGTTGAAAATGACAGCTAATGCCAAAGAGTGTGTTTGATTGGCTTTATTTTCATGGAAAATATCATTTTCCCACCCAAATTCCTATTTTTTGGACGTTTGATTGACAATTTTTTCCATGAAAATTATTTCCCAACTTTTGGTCATTTGACCATATGTTCCTCAAAAACAAGAAAACAATTTCTTTAGGGAGGTATTTTTTTTATTTTTCAGGTAGTTTACTCTCTATTCCTCTCTCTTATCTATTCATTTTCTCTCATCAACCCACCAATAAAAAATGGACAAGTATAATATTTTTTAGGTTGAAAACTAAATCAATTAAATTCATTTAATTAATAATTTTCATCATTTCTTTTCATTCAAATTTAATGCTCGTAATCAAGCATATCCTAAGAGTCCGTTTGATAGGCAAATGTGGAAAAGAATTCCAATTTCATGTTAGTTGGAAAATAAAAATCCATCAAATCCATGAGAATTCGTTTTTCATGAGAACAAAGAAAATGCAGCTTAAAGTGGTTGTACTTTGAAATTCGGTTTTCATTTTCACGTTACAATCAAACAGCCAAAGTGGAATTCGTTTTTCTCGAACGCGATATTTTTCATGAAATTCATTGCAATCAAATAGGACCTAATAGTTTAATATCCCATAGCACGAGGAGCAAAAGGACGAATATGTCTGAATCTTATCTCTTGGAGAGAGGTGCACGGCTTTGTGCTCACCGTTAGACTCGGGCCTTCCATTTCTTTGATTGATGTGGACGTGGTTCCCAAACTTGAGATTTTCTTAGCATGAAAATGCTTTCATCCACACATATCTCGATTTACTATGATTTTTTTTTCATAACCTAGTGGCAATACAGAATATCTAGAAGAGTGGGGACATTTCCACTCGAGAATGAATGCCCTCCACTAGAAAGCGATTCCACTTGAAGCGTATCGTTGGAAGGTGTAAGACCCATCATGCTGCTCCATCGTTTCGAAGAATACAAAAATAAAATAAAAGAAAGTAAGAAATCGCGTTTGTTTCCACAGACTTATTTATTTCTACTGTCCTCGCCGATTTCAAAGCAGAATTTAAACAGATTCTTCATCGACCGTGCTTCGATCATTGCTCATAAACGGAGAAGACGTGAGCATATCGATAGAAAAATTGAGGTTGAATGAACTCTCTGTTGAGTAGAAAATTTGACTTGGTAATAATGTCTTAAAACTAGCATGAAATTTTGATCAATTGGACGTCCTAATTACTCTCTCCTCTCATTTCTCTAGCTACATCTCTCAATAACTGTCTTTTTCTCTCTTAGAAGGCAAGCCTGCATCCCCTCTCTTCTCTCTACATATTCCATCCGGGGAAAGGATCGGCGCAGCTGAGCGTTCGCCGCTCATTTATGTCCTTCTCGTGGTTTGGATTATAGGTAGATCTAGCCGCTAGCTTTATCTCTCGTCGTTTGTGACTGTGAAGTTTGTAATTGTGACTAAGACCATAAATTATATAATATTGTAACCATAATATATTTAATTAATTACCTAATAAATAAAATTTAAATTAATATCTGATTTTGAAAAAGTAAACCCTATTTCTTATATTTGAAACATGTCATACTTAACGTCTTACTAATCATTTTTTCCCAAATATAAATAAAATTTGAAAGCGAACCCAGACTCCTTAAATGGGCCTAATGATGGATCAATCTATAGGCTTTCTACACTTGTGGGTCTAATGTTATTATGAACCTGATGAACTAGGATAAATGGACGGACCTAATAAGGCATTTCCACTCGTACAAGTTTTAGCTGTTTAAGCTCAATTCAAAGCAAAACTAATTTTGTGCTTAGGCTTCATTTTCATTTTCCCTCTTATTTGGGTATATAAGAGAGAATAAATAAATAAAATACATGATGAACTTGAAACGAATATATAGTGTAATAAGCACTTACCATAATGAGTTCAATTTGTCACTCAATATCCAAGCTATAAAGTTAGCTTTAATAGCCTTAAATATTATAATCGGTGGCTATGATAGCAATAAAAGATCCACCATCTCTCCACACTAGCTCTTGGACATGTCTGTCGACAATCATTACGGTGTGTTTGATGGATATTGTTAAGAAAAAATGTATTTTAAATAGTGGTATGATGGGAACTATATGGTTAAAAAGTAAGAAAAAGTTATTGACGTGATGAAAACATTATTTTATTGAAAAATATGTCGTTGAAAATGAGTTATGAAATAATGGATTAAGTAAATTGAAGTTTTGAATAATGATTTTTTGAAGAATATGTGGTTAAGGAATTTTTTTTTTTTTTTAATTTACATGGAGAATATTTTATTACGTGAGTATGTGATTGAAAATGAGCATGTAGTAAGAAAAAAATTTGAAATAATGATTGTCAAATAGGGCTCAACTCTAGATGCCATTTAGCTTTGTTCTTTCATCGACCGTAAGATTGAAGGAGACATCCCTTAAATGTAGAATTCATTATCTAAAAATAGGAGCTCTCACCGTATTTGTCATGATTAGATGTTAAGAGATTTACGGAGGACTTTTTGAATTTGCTATCAATTGATTGAAAAAATTGGGTCTAGTTTGTTGTAAAATTTGCTAAAAATATTTACGACCTTTATATATTATATCAATGTCAATAATATTCTTTGTGTAACCTTTATATTGTAATTTATGTTAACACCACTACAACAAATGTTACTTTTTATAGCACGCATTTACGGTGTGCATATAAGACATGATGTAAAAGTTAACTATTTACAACATGCATTAAATGCACACCGTAATAAATCAGTTACTATGAGTGTGTTTGAGCCACATTATTTTGGAAGAATGTATTCTGGAATAGTAAATTGATGGAGAATTTGTGGTTGAAGAAGAGGGAAAAGTTATTGATGTGATATAAAATNTCAACCATTAGAACAATCGAACATCCTTAAACAATTTTTTATTTCCTGGACCAAGTCGATTGGTGTTTCGTGTGTTTGATCCACATTATTTTGGAAGAATGTATTCTGGAATAGTAGATTGATGGAGAATTTGTGGTTGAAGAAGAGGGAAAAGTTATTGATGTGATATAAAATATTATTTTATTGAAGAATGTGTGGTTGAAAATGAGTAGAAGAATGAGAATGAAAATTATAATGTGTACCAAATAGGGGCTAAAAGTATTTACGGCATACATTAATGGCATGCCTAAAAAGTTAAATTTTACGGCAAACATTGACGGCATGTCGTAAACCCAACGACAATTTTTATTTTTTATTTTTTTTTACGAAATACGAAAGTCCAGCTTAAAACTTTCTATATAGCGGAATGCTATAGAAGTAATAACATCGTTCTATATACAGCGTACTTTGCATGCCGTAAAAAGTAACCCACTTTTTACGGCATCGCTTTATACGGTGCGCTGATGCACGTCGTAAAGACTTATTTACTGAATACATTGCACGCCGTAAAATGTGAACTTTGTTGTAGTGCACTTTGCTTTCCCACACGACTCAAAGATCCTGGCTCTGATCCCAAGTGAGCATTCAATTCTTACAAGATAATTGCGTTGGAGTCAATTTGACGAGGAGGGACTGAAAATGAGATTGATAAAAAAAGTCTTTCCAAGTATTTTCTAATAATAATCCGAACCAAAAATATTAAAATATAGAGGCAATGCAAAAAGATCGGTTTATTCTTTATTATTTCGAAATAGAAAATCCCTTTTATATATATATAATATATAATATGCACATGTAAGAATGATCTCATGCATGATCACTTTTACAGGGACTAGGAAAGTGTAGTGAAGCTTCATTGAAGGAAAGCGATGAAAAGGTCAGCCAATTTTGAATAAGAAAAGTTCCTAGACTTTCAATAAGGTACTACATTCAATGCCAAGACTTTGAAATTATCTATGAAACTTAGCTGTAATTATTAACTTATATGTAATTAACACTAAATAAAACAAAAATAAATATATAAATATGCTTTATTTTCAAGAAAATTGTGTTTCTTCAAGCCTTAAATAATTAAAAAAGTTGCAAATAGATATAAAGAAGTGGACACATGAAGTTGAGAGCTTCTTGCATGATGAAGCCATTGACCTACCAACTTAAAATTCAAAATAATTATAACCTTTTTGAACCAAGTTGCCAAAATATGATCAATCTAAAATTCTTAAATTTCGGCTGTCTGAAGAATTTTTCAAAATTTTGCTGGGCTCAATCTAGAAGGCTGCTCAGTTTCTTCTTCACATTCATTGGTATTTTGCCTTTTTGATGATGAGATTTTAGTTCCTTCTCAACTTTGAAGGCCTAATTCTCAGTACACCAATTTTAGTTTAATGAAGGATTAA